CTGCTGTTCCTGGCTGCCTGTCCCTGCAGCTTCTCTCCAGGGAGGGGCCTCCTCAGCCCACGTGTCCTGAACAGCACGATTCCACGGTGGCACCTTGGATCCCTGGACATTTATTTGAAATCTTCTGAAATCAAACCAACATCCAAAGCCTGACCTCCCACGTCAGGAGGGGACCCCACCATTTTGCCCATGGCTTATTGATGGTCATGTCCCCAGGCACTTTTCAGAAGGACTGCCAGCTCTGTGAAGGGACAGCCTGCCGTCTCCTTCACTGCTGCCCTCGGAGCGCCCCAGCAGTGTGTGGCCTCTGACGGGCCTTCAGAATACCTGCTGGATGTGCGTGGATAAAAGACAACATCAGCCACCCTCCACCCACCCTAAGCCCAACCAGACCTCTGCCATCAGACCATGTCACCTCTGTGGTCACCGTCTTTTAATACCCAGAATAACTTCCTGCCACCAAAGTGCTCAGGGAGGCCCCCATTCTGCCTGCCAGGTCTCTTCACCTCTCATGCTGGATGCCATCCCCTGACGAAAATGGCTGAGAGCCACTTAGCAATGGAACCACTCGAAACCAGCCTGGACACATCCCACCCATTGGCATGTTCTTGAGGGACATGTGACACATTCTAGGAGCTGTCTTCCTGCAGCAAGTGGCCAATGGGAAGCTGGCTCTGGGACTAAACGTGGCCTGCGCAGTGCCTGCCTCCCTCGGGCTCCCTGAAGAGTTGCTAGGAGCTCTGCCAAGGTAGGTCCTGGCACACCCTCCTCCAACAACCACAGATGGTGAGGAGGGGGGTGGGAGGAGGAGGAGCAGCTCAAGGCAGCAAGGGGGCTGGAGGTCCAACTTGGGGTGAAAGTCTCACAGCAGCTTGGGAATTCTCTTCTTTCAGCAGGGATCTGGCCCAGCATGCCCCGTAGAGAAGCGTCTGGAGAAAGCAGGGAGGAGGATCACTTGGAGGGGTATCAGACTTGAGGCTTTGAGTTTGGTCCTGCAGTGGGGGAGGAGAGGCTGGGTGTGGGGAGTGGTGCTATTTGTGAAATTCAAAGATTGGACGATCCTTGGGAAAGCTGAGACAGGATGATTGGGGAAGGGCGCGTGTGAGG